CCGCCTCAGTCCTCCCGCGCCCCCGCCCCCCACACAGCCGCCAGGGACACTGCCCCCCGAGGGGCTCCTTCCAGCCGTCACCCCCTTCCTTATCACCATCCCCAGCAAACCCCAGACGGACACGGGTGTTGCCAATGTGGGTCCCTGGCACCACGTGCCCCATGACGTGGGGGCAGCACGGCCCCAGGGGTCTCCGCTGCAGGGGGGAGCGGGAGCCAGGCTGCGGAGGGGAAGCTGGGCTTGGTGTCCACTGTTGGTCTTTCTGGCCGGTGTCAAGCCCCGAGGCTGAGGTCCGGCACCTCATGTGCACCAGAGCTCCCTGGCGGTGGGACAGGCGCCCGTGCAGCATGGGGACCAGCCAAGAAAGCCGAACGCGCTACTCTGCTCTGTGCTCCTCGCAGGAGCGAGAAGCGGCAGTGGAGGGCATGGGGAGCCCGAGGAACCAAAGCCCAAACCCTCCTCATCGGGAGCATCTAGAAAGCGGTCAAACTGCCAGGCTGGCGAGCCCGAGGGAAGCGCACGGCAGAGGCTCCGCTTGGCTCAGCGCCGGTGCCTTTGGCACGCTCCCCCGCGGGAGCCCGAGCATCGCCGCAGCGCGGGGGCAGCTCTGGGTCTGGGTGTGCTGTGCTGATGCCCCGAGAGCCCCCTCGCCGCTTCGAACGCCCCCGGCAGTGGGGCTCCAACTTCACCTTCCCCATCCCTCTCATCCCCACGGCAAGCGCCTCCTCTCCCCGTTGCTTTAATAACGCCTTTCAGCAGTGCCGTTTTGTCCCAGCAATAAGCACGCCGGGTCCCAGCAGTATTTCTTCAGGTTTCATAAGTGGTTTGTTTCCGTTTGTCCTGCCTCCCCCCCCCTGCGGCACCACCGCCCCGCGCAGGCTGCCCACCCAGTCACCAGGCACTTGCCAGAAGAGGGCTACAGAGTCAGCCGAAATCCCTACAGAAGCCACGGTTCTCCACAGCCCCGGTGCAAACACAGAAGAGCAGCAGCCCACGGGGTAAAGGTTTAAGAGCCACCTTCTTCCCCCACCTCTGAGGTGCCCCCAAAGCATTCATGCCCATGTCAGCTCTGGGTCAGCGTGCCCGAGTTACACAGGGAAGAGGTGCAGGACACAGACGGGGTAAGAGCAGGACTAACCCAACACCAGTGCCACCCTGGGGCAGACGGCGAATGGACCACAACTGGTTTGTCCCCACTCAGGCTCTTGGGACGCAGAGAGACAGCCCCACCACCCGCCCGGAGGGCTCGCGGCAGGGTCCTGCAGGACTCCAGTCTTGACCTTGTGCTATTTAACTATTCCATCGATTCTCAGGACGAAAGTTAGGTAGGTGCTCACAGACAACACACGGAGTGATGCTCACTTGCCTGAGGAGGAGCGTTTCGCCATGGGACTCACGGGCAGGACAGCCCGGCTGGGCGTGCGGGCGCCACAGCGTCCCCTGAGCAAGTCATCCTGGTAGAAACGAAGGGAGACCTCATGGAGAGGAATGAGGGCACAGACGTGGCTGCAGGGTGCGAGGCAGCAGCCTGGACCTGCGAGCGATGCAGAGCCTCCAGCACCCAGGTGGGCAACCTGCCGGAGCGCGCCAGAGCCCGCCGGGGATGCGGCACAAGCGGAGCCGCTCCAGCACTGCTGTTGGCTGCATCCGACGCTGGTGATGGCTGTGGGAAAGGTGATGGCGGAGCTCACACGGGAGCGGCGCACGGTGCCGGCCAGTTTGGGAAATGCAGACCTGGGAGGTCACATAGACAGCTTTGACTAGAAGGACAAGCAACCTTCAGGGGAGAACGGAGGAGCGGTACGTAAGCACAGGGGAGTGCACCGGGAGACCACGGCAATGCCAACGCTATCACCAGTGGGTACGCGCGGGACCACAGCACACTCCTGGGGGCCGCAGTTCCGCAGCAACAGAAGACAAGCGAGCAGAAAACCCCACGTTCGCACTGTGCCTACACGCAGTCACTGCGGTGCCACCGGTGCCGGGTCCACGGCGGCAGCGGGCATGGTGCACCGTGGGGACGGCAGCTCCACTCCTGAGCCTGGGACAAACCCACACCGGACTGGGAGGTCCCTGCGCTCTGGTGGTCTCCGGGGTCCCAGCAGCCTGGAGAGCAGAGCTCTCACCAAAACGGTGTGACCGGCGTGGGAATGGGGAGGGACGAGGCCCTTCTGAAGAGGCGGTGGCGTTCCTCACCAGGCGGATGGAGCCTGCAGCCGGCCAGCAATCCCAGGAATTGCTGCCGTAAGCAACGCAGGAATCTGGGATAGCAAAGCACAGAGGAGATGCTGTGCCGAGGAGAGCGGGGCCAGCACCACCGCGCCTCGGGGACGCCGTTGCACCATCCATCCCCAGATGCCTCTGGTTGGCAGCCGCAGGTTCCATGGCGGTCCGGGCTGGGACACAGGGACGGGAGACCACGGGACAAAGCAAACCAGAGCGAGATGAGAAGCGGGAGGGATGTAGGGGCACGGGCAGTTGTGCCGGATCAGCGGAGCAGCCTGCCGGCGGGGTGGGGAAAGACTCACCGGCTGCCAAAACACTCCCCTCAGCCGCCCGGGAGGGTGTGGG